TAATGTGAAGTCACAAAATTACTAAAGAGTCAAAGTGAAAACCTCTTTGATATGCATGGTATTCGGAGACAGACTTAGCTTGTGATTAGTAAAATACTCTGTTACTCTATGGCTCTGGCACTTATTTTCTTTTCTTCCTTCCATGCAGGAGTTACCTTCTAGTGTTTGGGAGCCAGACTCAGATAATACCAGGCTCAAATGTCAGGTTATCACTGATCTTAGCTGCAAGCTGCTAATCTCTGCGTCAGTAGGGCAAAAGTCCTTGTGGTAACAATAATAGTTTTGGCCTGCAACATGAAAAGAAAATGAGCAATATTTTGGCCCCTTCACTATTTTCAGCACTTGATGGCTCTTACCAAGGCAAAGTTCTCTGCAGTGCTCTTGTAAAATTGCTGTTTTCTGTTTCAGAGGTGGCTGTCGGTGGTGGGGGAGGGAATAGGGTTGTACATAGGTGTCCTTCGTGATGGAATTTGCTTATGTAAATATATCTATATATTTTAAACCATGTTGTTATCGTTAAACCCTTGGACAAATATGGAATGCTAAATCAGTATGTCTTCTAAAGAAACACTTGTTTGCACTGGTTAGTACAAAGCAAATAAAATACTTTGCTTTGCTTGAGCAGTAAAGTGATAACCAGGTGAATTAAAGGCTTCCTTGTTATGCCATGTAAAGGGATGCTCCTGCACTGCTTAATTTCATCTACCTCTGGAACAGTCTCTCTTGTTAATACTACTTTTTGCCTTCTCTCATGAAAATCTTTATGCAGACTAATAGAACTGAAAACATGCAGTTAATGGAAGTCTGGCCGGGTGGACCTGGACTGTGTTTTCTCCATCGCAGCTAGAGGTGTTGCGTTGTTAAAGGGCTGCCTCGTTAACAGAACGCATGACGATGGTATCTGTGTCTTTGCTAATCTAATTCTTTTCCTCCCGCTCCCAGTTACCCGCAGGACTGGAGTGCTGCTCCAAGGCTCCCTTTGCTGCAGCAGTCCCGCACAGTTGAAGTGGCGGAGCTGAGCCCGGCGCTCTAGACGCAGCGACGCGGTGCTGGGTCTGCCGTAGCGCTCGGTGCTGGCGCTCGGTTTCTGGTGGACTGTTTCTCTCCTCCCCAGGGAGCAGAGCAACCATCACCCTTGTCCCTTTTCCTTTGTAACTGTCCCCTTGCCTCTGCTGTAACTCTGATGTCCTCCTTGCTCTCACAATACTTTCTTCTCCTAAATTCATGTGTGTGGCTGTGCTGCCTTCATGCTGCCTTCATCCCAGCTTTCCTGTCTGAAACTACCTCAGCTGCTGCTCTGGAATGGCCACGTGGGCTTTCGTCTCTCCTTTCTCTGCCCCCCGTGTCTTCCTTGATCTTCGAGCTGTCCACACGTCCAGGCGAGTTGTGCTGTTCTCCTTGCCCAGGTGCCGGGGAAGGAAGCGCCGCTGCCGCCAGGCTCTGCAGGGCCCTGCCTGCTTCAGCCTCCTCCTCAGGATGACTCCAATTTTAATGTGAAGTTTCTAAAGTTTTCACTCTTGGAGAACATTGCATCTGTGCTGTTTTCTGTGTCAGTCTTAGCTCTTTTGCAAGTGCCTCCACAATGGATAGTCTCTTGAGACATTTTCTTCCATAGCAATAGCAAATGGTAAAATATTTAATTTTATTTCTAATAAATTATTTATTTTCTGTCATACCTCTTTGTATATCTACCTTTTCGACTCTCTTTCTGTAACTATTTTACTCTGCAATTTTTCTGGTATACTCTGTATTAATGATACTATGCATAACCTACTAAAATTCTCAGCAATGGCAAACCTTATTCTGTGCTATGCCTTGACCTCCTTTCCATTCACAATCATCTGGAAGCAAATT